GCATAATACTTTTTATACCACAGACAGTGATTGTTAAATCACAGTGTCTCTTTTTCAACTGGCTAACATCCAACACCACACACAGTTGAGCTTGTTGCATTTGATGTAGTTCGAAAGTGTGGCTATATTACACACCACTCCCTTTATATTACAAGGGTGCTGAACCAGGTACTCTATTGGTTTTGATATCACTTTAAAGGGACCTGATATTAGTACTGGTATAATTTTCATGGAGGCCACTCCTTTCGGCCGACACAAGCAGAGGGCCAAATTTCCCCCCCTTTTCAACACTCCAGATCTGTCTTTTAGCGTGTTCGCTCTTTGCAGATGGAGATATGAAAAACCTGAACCCTGTATACGACAAGACATAACCATTTTCTCTTGATATCCCAGTACATTTTTGCCTCTGTTTGCTCAACTCCTTTAAATTGTATGTTGACATAGGTGTTTTTGACTCTGAAGTTATTATTAACAAACATTGTGATTTGGTCGATGCTCTTTTTACAGCGTAAACAGACAGCTGTAGACAGTTAAATGCGACATTTATGTGGCAAGAATGGATTGACAGTAGAGTGAGAGGCAGAGATTGACTGCCTGGGTAAGAATGGTCTCAGCTGTCATCGTTTTCATATCCACATGTATAAATTAGGGTCAGACTGACATTGGCCTTTTATTAAATATTGAATATTTGCCAGTCAGTCTCACCACCTTCTTTACGACTGGGCTAGGTCTTTGGTCGTGTGTGAGTTTTTCAGACAGTTTTTCTTAGTGGAGAGAAAAGAATGGTTGATGGCTTAACTGGTGGACTGAATCATTTTGGAATGATTGCACAGATGGAGAGAAGATGGAGAGCAATGTTCCCTTACAAACAAACAGATAAATGAATGGATGGATAGATGCAGCTGGATAGAGGCAGCAACTGCATGCACTGTAGTTTTACCAGTTCTGAGTTCCTCTTGACAATGCTGCTTTCTGCTCGACAGATTGAACCTTGTGTAACATCCACCTTTCTGAGCTTTCCAAATCAGATTTAGATGTGGGGAGGGTGGGGGAGCCTTGGGATAAAAGTGGACAGTTAATTTAATAAGTGGTTCGGGGATGAAAGAACAGAGGCCAGAGAGAGGGCATAGAAACTTTGATATCTCACATAGAATAAACAGAGATTCTGTATAACAGAGAAAACCATAAAAAAGCCACGCTGTTCGCAGTATTTCTTACATTTGTGTTAGCCTAAGCCAAGTGCACATTTTAATGTCACATTTAGATGTGTCTGGTGACGATAAGTATTAATATCAGTAATTATGATGACAGTAACATTACAAATGATATAAACATAGGGTTTTTTTCCCCTCATGAGAGATCTAGAGTAGCATGGTTCTTAGTTTTCTTGGCTTCTTGCCCATCACACACAAGCAGCAGAAGCAGCAGCAGCAGTATTACAGCAGAAGTGGGCCATGTCCCAAGATAGCCTCCCAACACGACAGCCATCAGCTAGACCTATCAGTCCAGAACCTGAGAACAATGTGTATAAATAGATGCACACACTCATGCTCGCACAAAAAAGCACACCTCTGCCGTTCACTGTTCTCTTATTCATCCTTCTGTAGCCTTGTTGAGCCCCTTTAAAAACTCACCACCTCTCCTCCCTAGTTACTGTTATATAAACAATTCAGGTGGAAGAAATTATCTTATTGGTTAGGTAAAACGTTGGTGGGTGGGGCTAAAGCACAAGATTATGATAGATAATTGGTAAGGAAGGAGCTCATCGGAATATTAAAAGTGATATAAACAACATTAGATAAATACATTTTGTCACTTCTTGAACTTGGCATCATGGATTAGCTAACTAGTACTGTATATGTACTTAGCTGTACATTTGCTTTTCTTTCATTGTGCTTCACTGTATGGTATCTGTATGAGGAGCCAAAGTCCTAACACCACCTCCGGGTTAGCTGCTCTCACTCTGTGTAGTTTCTAACTGAGTTTATTTGATCCTTCTTCCTGAACACATGAAACATGTCCTGGGGGGTTCTATCCATACTCTCGTAGAGAATGTCTCTTCAAGATTTTGCTGGCCTGTTTTGGGGGATTGTTGCAGCCTAAAATATCTAAGTTCACAACAGCTTTTCTAAAAAATTGCAGTCTATGTCGCAGTGTTTTGCCCCAGGCATTATGTTTTTGGATTCTCCGTCCGTTCCTCCAATTCTTGTGAATGCCATAGCTCAAGAACACCTTGAGGGAATTTTAAGTTCATTTCAAAATTTTAAATTTGGCACAAACATCCACTTGGACTGAAGGTGCACTGATTAGATTTTGGTGGTCATACATCAAAGGTTAGGTTCACTTTAGCCTCATTTCTCTCATTCTTGTGAACGTGATATTTCAAGAACACTTTAAGTTTTTTTCAAATTTGGCACAAACATTCACTTGCACTCATTGATGAACTGATGAAATTTTGTTGGTCAAAGGTTAAGACCTTGCATCCAATTCATTCTGGTGAAATCAATATCTCAAAAACACCTGGAGGTAATTTCTCTAAATTTGGCACAAACATTCACTTGGACTGAACAATAAACTGATGAGAATTTGGTGGTCGATTGTCACTGTGACCTTGTATCCGTCTCACTCTCATGAATGTAATAACTCAAGATGGCCTTGAGGGAGATTTCTCAAATTTGGCACAGATGTCCACTTGGACTGAAGATGTACTGATTAGATTTTTGTGGTCATATATCAAAGGTTAGGTTCACTTTAACCTCATCTCTCTCTCATTCTTGTGAACGCGATATTTCAAGAACACTTTAAGGTTTTTTCAAATTTGGCACAAACGTTCACTTGCACTCATTGATGAACTGATTACATACAAGGTTAAGACCTTGCATCCAACTCAATCTGGTGAAATCAATATCTCAAAAACATGCTGAGTTAATTTCTCTAAATTTGGCACAAACATTGACTTCACAGAATTTGGTGGTCGAATGTCACTGTGACCCTGCATCCGTCTAACTCTCATGAATGTAATAACTCAGGACAGCCTTGAGAGAGCTTTCTCAAATTTGGCACAAATGTCCACTTGGACTCAAGAATGAATGGATTAGAATTTGGTAGTAAAAGGTGAAAGGCCAAGGACACTGTGACCTCACAAATCATATTTTTGGCCATAACTCAAGAATTCATATGCTAATTGTGACAAAATTTCACATAGAGAAGATGTGTGTGAAGCATCCATGTTTTTCGGCACAGACATCTTTGTAATCTTGACTGGCTCTCGGTGGCGTACAGCCGCAAAGCAGTAATTCTAGTTATGCAATGAAATTGCTGCAGCCAGTGAAATAAAGCAAAAATAGTCACAGGTTTTTTTTGTATAATTCTTTAAAATTAAAGGCAACTGGTTCCAGTGAGATTAAAATTGCTCTGTTATGACATTGTGATTTATACAACACTGTCATTACTGCTAACTACACATATGTAATCTAACTGAGCTGGATTCTTTCAGCACATGCAGCAGATGTGGCTGCTACAGTTTCTGTCATGGTGTTTTTGTTGTCCACAGGTTTCAGTCATTCTCCATGTGTGGTTTGCGGTAGAAAAGTGATAGTCCATTGATGACTTTCCTTTGTGTTCCAACATCATGTTGCACACAGTGTAGAACACTTCACCCTGCTTTTGTGCAGATCGTCAACAAATTGCCTCGTACCACCTTTAGCAGTAATTTTTTGTTGGTAATTGTGAGACTTTCAAGTTGCACATGCATGTATATTCACAACCAGAAACACCAAAGTAAGTTTGGTGACATGCAGCAGACTAGGATGATTGGTCAAATTTGCCGAAAAGTTGCAGTGATTGGACAGCATTGCAAGGTTGCGAAGAATTCATAGGATTGATTAAATGTGCGTTAATTGTTCCGATGGCAACATGGCAATATTGAGGAGGGACTAAGATAAATGTGTATCCTCTACAGCTCCCGTTAATATTTGGTAGCCCTGCAGTGAGTTTACTAATGTCATTTTAAATTGGTTTCTGGTATCTGGCTTCAGCTGCTCTGCTTCCTTTACTGTTTCTTTACTCTAAAGGCTACCTGCTGCAGATTAATAATGTCAAGTTCATACAAGGACACATTTGCTGAAAAAACTCAGCACTGTATGTGTTTTGGATTCTACAGTGTGCACAGGCTCACTGGCCAGTGAGTACAAAGTTTGCACACTAACCCTACAAATAATTGATCATGTCTAGTTACTGTGTGCTGCCTTTTAGAAAAGCTGGCCGTGGTTAGTGACCTGTGTTTATATGAAACTAAATATTCAAGTATGTTTTTGTGTGGGTCTGTTTCTGTCATTGCACCACCTGCAAAATATTTCATAATTCATTACGCCCATTTAAGTCGAAGTGAATCACTGATGATATTTGTGCTTCCAGGACATTACTTTCCCCTGAGACATGTTTTGATAGCAAAACTTCATATCTGACACTTTTTCCTTCTTTTTTCGTATTTCCTTCCACCATTTCCGGCCTGCTCCGTCAGTTTCTCCTCTCATCTTTAATTCCCTCCCTCCCCGCCTGCCCCTGCTCCACATCACTCTGCTCTTGGCAGCTGTGCTGTTCTTTTATATGTGCATCTATTTAAAGATCTAAACCGTCTTTGACCTGCCAACTGGAGTTGTAGTCAGAAAATATGAGGCAGACTCTGTGAACTGTACGTCTTCTAAACCCACTGAACCTCTGCAGTATGGCGTGGCGTCAGATGATGCTCAGAGACATGGAAACAGGAAAAGTAGGCTACTGGGTTAGTCTAGAATATGTGATGTGCTTATTTAACAGCATACGGGACAAGATCCAGAGGGCCCATCTGTGGAGGTGAAGATGACATTAATGGGTTTTTAATTGGGGGGGGGTTGTGTTGGGTTTTTTTAGAACTGTAATTTTGTGAGTGTTTATTTGTGTGCAATACTTTGTAAGTGAGTAAGATTTGTAAGATTTAATTTCCAATGTCTGTGTTTCAGCACTGGGAGGTGTTCAAGGTGATAACTGAGGTGTTCATCCTTGTGCCTGCACTGGTTGGACTCAAAGGAAACCTGGAGATGACCCTGGCTGCTCGCCTCTCCACTGCTGTAAGACGGGCTAGGTGTTAAATATTTTAAGTCCTCATGCAGTATGATTTTTGATTCAGAACTTGAACTTTCTTCAGGCCCTATAGGCTACATATATATTATTATTTTAGAGAACACTGTGACTCCTCCCTACAAGTCAGTCTCACCACCATACAACTTCTCATGCACAGCTGATTCAGTACAAAATCACACTCAGAGTGATCATATGAAAACAATATGGTGTGTTTGTCTCTCAGCTCAGTCTGAGCTGAAAGTAGGTGCACTTTGTAGGTTATATTGCTACAAGCAGAGTGCATGCATAGTGGACTAATCTGAGTCAACTCTTAATGGTTTCTTGAAGTACAATTAGGCATTATCATGTAATGCAACATGCTAAATTATTCAGAATGATATTAGATCTTGTTTTAGTAGTTGGTCCTGTGCAGATGGCACAGCACTATTGCAGTTGTTTACAACCTGGGTCCCATTTTCACAGTTCTCGTAGTGCTTACTGTAATGATGATGACATTTTACAGACAAGAAATGAAACAAAAAGGCAAGAAACACAAGACAGCTTTTTACAGTATAATCATGTTTTACATGTAGGGTATAAAAAATATATTCACTGGGTTCCTATACCCAACTGATACTGTATGTAGGTACAAGGGATGAAATCAGGAGGTAAGGGTAAAACAACCTTGTGTTTCATGGCAACTTAAAAATCTGTTGTATTTTTGTATTTTATAGTGCCTACTTAATAAATATAGGGTACAGTGATTTCATTACTGTGGCAAGACAGGACAAATTAGTAAAATGAGGTAATTGTGCTTATACTGGAGTACTTGGTGATATGTTGCTGTAGAATTAAACACACATAACAAATATAGCTATAAAATAGTTATTTTGTAAAATTTGTAGTTTGCCATTGTAAAATGACACATAGGCTGGTCCTCCGTCTGTATCCTGTAATTATTTTATGTGTTCTAGGTAAATAAAAAAGCACTTACTGTGTCATTTGTTACAAGGTCCCTCACAGATACAAATATGTACTGCCCTATTTCTTGCACTTCTTCCCTTGTACCCCAGAAGGTATCCAATTCCATTGGTAACCCTTGAAAATAAAAACATTACACTATAATTTTTGGGCTGTAACTTGAAGCTTTGCCGAAACCCCAGGTTGTAAAAACCATAAAGTAAAATGAAAATGCCTTTACCTGATGGAGTTTTTTAGTGGGACCCAATTGGTTATTTACTCATTTACTCCTACCTTGGACTTAATAGGGAATGAGAACCACAGAGCATTCTGGTGCAGCGCTGCCATCTTAGAAGGATAAGTGTCCGCAGCTTTGGTAGCTGCTTGTCTAATCAAATCAATGTCTATATTAGTGCATGCAGCCAATATATAGAGAAGCTCTCAACAGATGTGAAAGAATGAAATATTAAAAAATTGATGCTAGATAATGATATCAATCCTTACAGACCTTGATAGCTTGCCACCCATTGATGTCCCTGATACCTGTCTAGTGTTTGGTGTTAGCACCCACTCAGCAAGTAAGAAACTTAAAATCTTTGGAGGCCCTTGTCCAATTTACAGACAGAGGGGTACAGACCTTCAGATTTACAAGCCTAATCCCAACTAAGCTAATAGTGAGTTAATAGTTAAGATAGCTAAGGTTATGTTAACTGAATGCTAACAAAACCTTGGCTAATCATGTATAATTAGTCTGTCGGTATCTAGCAAAATTAAACACATAATATTAACCTATCTTTGGGTCTGACTTTACACCAAATATACTTAATTTGGTTTTTGAATCTCATTCAGCGAGTTGTGTTTTGTGTTAGTTCAACAGTTCTTTTGACACTTACAATAAACAGCCAGGGGATGGCAATCTTCCCCTTATCCTGTTAAAATGGCCGACCCGCTGCTGATGACAACAAAATCCCATTCCCTATTGTCTACTTGTCTGCCTCTTTGGAATAAGGGGAAAAAAAAACGGCCTATATTAATCCACACATTGACGTGTAATTGTAATACTTAATTTTGTCAAAAAAAACTAAATGATTGAATTGCCTTTTCCCTCACATTCTCATTAAAGTGACTGGATGTGTCTCCATGTGTTTGTAGGCCAACACAGGCCAAATGGACGACCCTGATAGACATTGGACCATGGTGTGCAGCAACCTGGCACTGATACAGGTAACATACTCACCATATACCCACATAGGTTACTGTGGTCACCAGTTTAGGCAAAAGAGGAATCACAATAACCACTGAGATACTTTCTTTAGGTGCATGTGGATGATTATCTGTTTAGTTAAGAAGATATTCAGCAGTTTGACCTATAATAAAAATGTCTGCTAGTTGTAGCCCCATCTAAATGTCACTGCACTGTGTGTCATGTTCATTGTTGTACTCCAGTCGAATCCTTTAATAATATCTGGTTTCCTCCTTTTCTGCAGGTTCAGGCAACAGTGGTGGGCTTCCTCGCAGCATTGGCAGCCGTGTGCTTAGGGTCATTTTCTAGAGGGGGTGTCGAACTGGACCAGGCAGCTGTTCTCTGTGCGAGCAGCATCACCACTGCCTTTTTAGCTGCTCTCTCCTTAGGTCAGTAACAAAGGAGGCTTTCATTGTTTTGAAGTTGAATCAGTCTGCTACAGTATTTTGATTGTTTTGGCTCAATTTTCACAACCAAGTTTTAGTTTGTGAAATGCAACACTCCAAAATTTGGCTACAAACATTCCACATAGCACATAGAATTAAAAGCTGTATCGAATTAGGTAATACATCATGCAGAAAGCTTTATTAGAAGATAAACACACATTCACGTTGTACCAAAAATACACATAATGCTTCCATTTATTTCCTTCAGAGTCTTCACTACATTATACTATATGAGTCTGGACAGGCATGGATGTAAACTGCAAGTTGACTGTTTGGCAGAGGCATATAGCCACAAGGCAATACTTCTAGTTTTACATTTAAAGTTGAAAGTGAGCCAAAGCAATTACAGTATACTATAGTAGTGACCCTGCTATGAACAGGCATTATTCATGTTCTGAGTTCATCAGAAACTGCACAAAGAAAAAATGTGTGTAATGATGCAGTGATGATCCAGGGGCACCATTGCAGCAAACACATGGCAGAAAATGGTTGGCAAACAAACAGGTGGCAGGGTGCTCAGAAACAACCGAGATTGGTGTATACACTCACGGACCATTTCATTAGGTACACCTAGCTAGTACCAGGTTGGACCCCTTTTGCCTTCAGAACTGCCTTAATTCTTGGTGGCACAGATTCAACAAGGTGCTGAAACATTCCTCAGAGATTTTGGTCCATATCGACATGATAGCATCGCACAGTTGCTGCAGATTTGTCGGCTGCACATCCATGATGCGAATCTCCTGTTTCACCACATCCCAAACCTTTGGGATGTGGTGGAACAGATTGTGGACTGTGGAGGCCATAGTTTCAGATGATTTGAGCTTTGTGACATGGTGCGTTATCCTGCTGGAGGTAACCATCAGAAGATGGGTACACTGTGGTCATAAAGGGATCACGGTCAATTGGTTGATGCACAGTTGATACTAAGGGGCCCAAAGTGTGCAAACAAAATATCTCCCACACCATTACACCACCACCAGCAGCCTGAACCTTTGATACAAGGCAGGATGGATCCATGCTTTCATGTTGTTTACACCAAATTCTGATCCTACCAACTGAATGTCGCAGCAGAAATCAAGACTCATCAGACCAGGCAACGTTTTTCCAATCTTCTATTGTCCAGTTTTGGTGAGCCTGTGTGCCTGTGCCTCTGTTTTCTGTTCTTAGCTGATGGAAGTGGCACCTGGTGTGATCTTCTGCTGCTGTAGCCCATCTGCTTCAAGGTTCCACGTGTTGTTCTTTCAGAGATGGTCTTCTGCAGACCTTGGTTGTAACAAGCAGTTATTTGAGTTACTGTTGCCTTTCTATCATCTTGAACCAGTCTGGCCATTCTCCTCTGACCTCTGGCATCAACAAGGCATTTTCACCCAGAGAACTGCCGCTCACTGGATAGTTTCTTTTTGGGACCATCCTCTATGAACCCTAGAGATGGTTGTGTGTGAAAATCCCAGTAGATCAGCAGTTTCTGAAATACTCAGACCAGTCTGTCTGGCACCAACAACCATGTCACGTTCAAAGTCACTTAAATCACCTTTCTTCCCTATTCTGATGCTCAGTTTGAACTTCAGCAGGTCGTCCGGACCATGTCTACATGCCTAAATGCACTGAGTTGCTGCCATGTGATTGGCTGATTAGCTATATGTGTGAGTAGTTGAACAGGTGTACCTTACAAACTGGCCAGTGAGTGTATATTCACAGCTTCTGTATTTTATAAGGCGAGGTGTAAGATTATCCAGCTGCTCTATATGTGAAGGCAAAGGCAACTGAATCACTTTTATCCTCCTCTATAGCTGCTGTGTTTGTTGGACAGTCCTTAAATCATGTCCTGTAGATAAAACATCCTTTAAATGCAAGCCATTGATGAGATTGACGCCACTCTCACGAAGCCACAGTCTGCTCATCTAACTCTCAGCAAGAGAGCAAATGAATGTGTCTTCCAAAATGTCAGACTGTTCCTTCCATAGTCAGTAAATGCTACGTGGAGCTCCTGTCTGCGTCTTTTTTACTCACACTGTTAAACACTATCAGTCAGTCAGCTCAGCACACTGACCCAGCAGGTTTAACAGCCAGCAGCAGGTGCACCTATCCCCGTGCCACCCTTCCCCTCTTGTAATTACTGCATTATTCATAATTTATCCTCTCCATAAATGTTCTAGTGTTTAGCGGTCCTGATGAGTGAGGGGAGTCAGCTTTCCCTGGTTCGTTTTATTGCTAATGACTTGAGTCATGTCTCAGTGGGGAGTAACCTCGTCAAACCTTCCTCTCCTTACTCTGTCATTTTTAATATCTCTCTATGAATCCGTTTTCTTGCATTTTTTATTTTGCTCAGCTCTAAACGCTGCTTGTGTAAGTCTTATTGTTTCTCCCCTATTTTCTCCTCTGTCACTCTGTGCGGCAGTTTGAGCTCTGAAAACTGTCTTTTCTGATCGAGAAAAACCAGCATGTTCCTGCTGAAAGCTTTCGTCAGCGTTATGTTGTATTGTAACTGGGATAAAAGCCCTCCCTCAGAACACACTCAATTATTTCTCTCTTTATACACTTTGCCTTTTTGTTCTCCTTGGTTGAAAGTGATTACAGTTCGCTCTTTTTCTCCATCACCCTTTTTTCTGCTCCTGTTCTTTTATAATAACTCATCTCTCCCTTCTGTTTCTTTCCATCTTCACTCTCAACTCTTTTCTCCCCCGTAGGCTTGGTGATGATTGGAGTGATCATCGGCTCCAGGAAGGTGGGGATCAACCCTGACAACGTGGCCACCCCCATCGCTGCCAGTCTGGGTGATTTGATCACCCTGTCCCTGCTGGCTGGGGTCAGCAGCACACTCTATGAATATATAGGTGAGGAGATACAGTAACATGGAGTCATGAGAGAAGATGAGCCAAACCTCAGGCTCTGATTTATGACCCTGAGTCACACTTGTCTGTAGTCAGAGGAGCAGCTTACATCTGGATTTATACATTTTCTCCCAATAAGAGGAACGTGTGAATGTCTTTGTTTTGTAGTAAAGTTAAATGAGAGGGAACATTTGGACCAATGCACAATGTGATAACCAGAACACAAGATGGCAGCAAAAGTCAGGCTTATTTTTCAGACAACTCGTCAAGGTGTGTGTGTGTGTGTGTGTGTGTGTGTGTGTGTGTGTGTGTGTGATTTATCATGTATTCTCAGTACTGCAAGTCATTCATTGATAATACTGGTATGATTTTTAATGTGATATGAAAAATTCCTATTGTGATATTCGCAATATTTCAAGTTGTTGACATCATACTGTTACCCATGGCAACAACAAGCATGACTAAAAGTGAAATTATTAGCGATTCGGCAGAGGTTACAAAGAGAGGAGCAGCTCCAGTAGTGTGGAATAAATTGTGGCGTCCTAAATGTTTTATGAACAGCCCCGGACTTCTCAGACTGTTTTTGCGAGTTACTGCTCAGAGGGAACTCATTCAGCGGCTCCTCTGGCAGCAGCACAGGGTCTCTCCGTCTCCTCTCTCAGCGTATGCACACAGGAGTCGGTGTCGTCAAGTTGTTTTGTCATAAACCTTCAGTAATGTAAACCTATGTGACGCTCGCAGCTCGACAAAACACTACATATATGTGAATGTGTAATAGTTATGGTAGCATAACAGCCTGTCACAGGTTACAGTGTGATGATTCCAGGTGGGAAAAAAAATCCCAACTCAGTCATTTAGGATTTTGGTAAAGAAAATCACCTGTTGATTTATATATATAGATCCCAGGATGCATTTATTGTATTTGGGAGCTGTTAAATGTGTAATTTGTGGTAGATTTTATTTTGATGAACTAATAATGTTGTATACGTAATCTGAACTCACTCTGAGTTACTGTTGTTTACAGTAACTCAGAGTTTGTTGTTTACAAACTAAAGCCATGAAAGATAATTTTTGTTTAGTTTTTACTGAATATTTGAAGGTTAACTGTCAGGTTGCCATGTAAAACTATATCACTTATTATGTTGCAATTCAAGGATCTTAAATCTTACTATATAATGACGAAAACTCTGTCTGTCTGTGGATGTGTCTGTCCCACGTTTTTCTACTCACTGATGTGGTTGATCTATGTGAAACTGCACATAGGCATTGAGGATTGGCATAGGTAGAAGGTGACGAGGCTACTTTTTCCAAAAATAACAGTATTGTTAGTATATTCTTTTACAAAGTCGATGCATGCGCGTTGATATATGTATCCACCTCAAACGGACATCAGCTGTAGCCGAGCAGCGGAGTTACACTGTGCACGTTCGTTAATATATGTATCCACCTTAAACATTTTCCCACTATTGGCAATGGTTCTACTGTACTTTCAATGAAGCAAGCGTACTCTCAATTTCACAAAAACTCTGTCTGAATACATTGCTCTTCTTAATGGGTTCAGTTGACTATTTAATCTGCAATTTCCTATGACCTGTATCCCAAACACACACCATGTGAAACTGTACATGGGCAACTGTGCACTCAATGGGTATGGACTAGTCAATATCGAAATATCTTAATACTAATTAATCATATTGTCAAGAATATCATTATCGCTAAAATACCCTGAAATATCATATTATTCTAGAGCCATATCACCAACTCCGCCAACTAAAAGACATAGATGAATCAGGATGTTAGCGGAACTGTAGCTTTTCACTGTGAAGACTCACAGTACGGAGATTTCTTTTCTTTTATTAACTGTACCTTTATTTAAATGTGTAATCTCATTAAGAGACACATTCTTAATCTTAAAAACTACCTGATTAAACTTAGTGGCCAAAGGGGTGCACCTACAGGCAATAGTAGGTGGCCAAAGGGTAACTTTTTGTTAAGTTAAGTGTTGTAGTGGTACTCATTATTGTATAATTCATGACTTCTCTGAAAATATGGCTGACTTTTATTAATATGCATTTTTGGTATCAGTAAGTTGTAAGAGTGTATCTGCTCCTGTCCCACAGATTTATGGTACCTGTCCCCCCTGGTGTGTCTGATCTTCCTGGCTCTGATCCCACTGTGGGTGGTGGTGGCCCGACAGAGCCCTCAGATCAGGGAGGTTCTCCGCTCAGGGTGGCAGCCTGTCATAGTAGCCATGTCCATTAGCAGGTATAAACTTTTCATTAATTTATTTAATCACTGATTTATACATAATTGCCTTAAATCAATTATAACTTATGTGTAAAGTGAACTCTTGAAATAGAGCAGGTCATTAGAAATAAGACATTTGAGCACTATTAAACTAAATGGTGATGTAAAAACCATATAAATACCTAATCAATTTTTTATCCTGCAGTGTGTAATTAGATCATTTAAATGATCTGAGCAGGTTATATAGTAGATGCTTAATGAGAAAAAAAAGTCAGGCCTCTGAACTGCTAATTAAATAGCTGAAAACAGGATTATCATTCTTTTGAAAGGCTTTTTTCCCTCCTGACATCAGGCTGGAAAACCCTGGCAGTGACTGCATGCGGTTCTGATTCCCTCTGCGTTTGTGTTTTCCAGTTTTGGAGGCCTTATACTGGACAAGACAGTGAGTGATCCCAACTTCAAGGGCATGGCTGTCTTTACACCTGTCATTAATGGTAAGCCTTTTAAAGCTAAATGATGCCACAGGGGAATAATCAAACTGAGAGATAAATTGGCATTTAAGTCATTTATTGGATGCCGTTGTCCAGAGTGCAGAGACATTTACATTATTAGGATTAAAATATAATTGAATAGATGTTTATACAGGAGTGTTTGTTAGTTTGCAGCCTGTATGAATCCGAGTAGAATGCTAACGATTCAGCAGTGAGTAATCCAAACAAAGTGTGGCGTTATCTGTGTGGGAGACATGATGGGAAACATCAGCACTTTGAAGCTTAAAGCAGAGCAAACAAAATGCAATCCATTCGCCACAATAAATGTTGGCATTGTATGTTTCTGCTAACCACAGATATGTTACATTTGTACATTATTTTGTAGCTGATACATCAAAACTTTTAAGCAGTTAACATGTGGTTAGGACTAGGCACAAAAACCACTTGGTCATAGTTAGGAAAATAAAAATGTTTTGGCTTACAGTATCTGGTGGCACAATCCCCACTGGAAACCCAGCAGTGTCTTGGTAAAAAACAAACCACTTTTCATGGCACTATCCAGTGGGAAACAAAATAATGGGTTGCTAAAAAACACCCACATTTGGTGACTAAAAAGCTGCTGAAAACTCAACAACTGGTTTTGTTGTTTGTTGGTATCAAACAGTGGTCTACAGCTTGGCAGGGGTTTAACTTGGGTGCCACACCATACTCTGTCCTCCTCACCTCCTGATGACAAAGTCAGCTCATACATTACGTCACTTTAGAAATGTTGATATATAGGGCTGTCCCCTAATAGTCGACGAAACGTTAGTCAATCACAAAGGTTATTAGTCGGCAAAATTTCATTGGTCACTTAGTCACAGAAAAAACAAACAAAATAATGTAAAACTCTATAAGGAGCTGCGCCATGTCAAAATAATTCAAAACCTATATGACTGGACCATGTGTGAATTTACTTTGAAAGGACAGACACAGGAAGTGGCCACACTGAGCAGTCAGACAGGAGTCACCTTAATTTCCAGGGCTGGTACCTGCGGTTATTCCACAGGCTTGTTAATAACATGTCGGGCAGGAAATCCAAAGTGTGGGATCATTTTGAGAAGGTGAAGGACGAACCCAAGCTGATATGTAAACTCATCTTCATTGGTCGACTACAAACATGACGTATCATCTGAAACATGTCAGTAGCTACATGCCCATTAGCCACGTAGCACAATCATTACTGCTTTGCTGACAGCGTCATTAACAGGCGGCTTGCTCATATGTGACGTGCACTTGTAGATAAAATATAGGCCTATATTAATGAAGGTTCATTAGTACGGTTTTGTATTTCTCTGTAATGTAGCGCAGTGTCAGACGTTGTAGCATCCTGATCTATTGCATGTGCTAAAGGAATCAAGCTGAGTTAGATTAAATATGCATGGTGGTAAATGATGAGTATTTGTCTACAAGGAAAATTCTTATTGAGGGGCAGCTCTATTGATATAATACGTATGAAATGTACAAATGTGACGTATCCATGGTTTGTTTGCAGAAATGTACAATGTCAACATTTTCTTCTGATGACTGAGCTCCAAAATGTAAATGCTCAAAGACTGGATCATCTGATGGTCATCGAATGACCTAACATTTACAGCATGTTAGAAGTTGTACATTTGCATTTGAACCTACCGGTCCTTCTCTCTGTGTGTACTTCTTGTATGAATGTGAGCAGCATACTACAACTCTCAGAACGGAATAAGAATGCTTCTCAAGGAGATTTTCCTGAGATTCAGTATTGAGTACATCACTAATCCCTGACAGTATACCTAGGCTTCATGAAATGACTCTCTGGATTGATTTCCTTCTTCCAGGCAGCAACTGGCAGCTTGATTTGTTATTTTTATTCACAACGTTTCTTTTCACACTCAATTATTTTTCTCTTTGAAGTCATTTTGTGTTATAGTTAAACACTTATGGGAAAGGAGTTTGAGGATGTCGGAGAAAGAGAAAAGCTGTGAAGTATTGTATCAAGAGCAGTGTTCATATTCAGAAAATTAAGCCCAGAAGACAGTAAGGCAAAAATAAATGTTATTAAAAAAAGTTACTCTCAAGCACTAAAACATTCTTATGGAGTTAAGGCTGGGTAACTTTACCTTGGTTTGAGGCATAATAAACATGTTCTACAAAGCAAAAAGCTTTTTAAATTTAACAACAGAAACCAAACGCTCTGAAATATTAAGTGCTGTTTCAAGCAAGCAGCTTTACGAAAACATTAAAGTCTTAAATTTACATATTTATCATTTAAATCAGAAAATATGAAATTAAAAAAAAAAAAAAAACTATTAATCGACCAGACCAACTCTCTGCCCTTGACATTTTTTAAGACTCTGCATTACAGACACATTCGTACCACAAAGGCTGTTCCTACAAGTGAGTGGAAAAACAGCCCTTGCTCAGAACTAATGACCTTGCATGGTTACCAATCCCCAACCTTCTAATTTTCAGTATTTTATTACCATTGTTAAATGAACTGAAACCATTGGCAGTCTGGGAGGCAAGGAAACCAGTCTAAAACATATGGGATGCTTTGGAATACATTCGGCTTTAATGTTAAGTATTCACGATTTACAGTTAATGGGCTCCAACATGTGAAACTTCCATCATGTCCAGTAAATGAAGCCTGAAAACCACAGGAGCACCAGCTTTAGAAGCACCGGCTATTTCAGACGCACCAGCTGCGGTCAAAAGTGCATTCAGGCCATCATTTGGAGCGTCAGACTGCTTTGATGAATCTCTCTGAAGTTTTATTTTTACACTCTCAGTAGTGGAGGTTCAGCACAGATACATAGTTTGTTCAAAATTTTATGAGTTTCATCATCAAATAAATACACTCTTTGTAGCTCATCAACAGAAACAGTGTAATATACTGGTCTGAGACTGTTTGCTAAACTCCTCCCTTAAACAGCAATTGTCCAATAATAGCTTAGCAGTTGTAACTAGGCTGAGCAGATATGGCAAGCTTTAGATTTCTATCAGTCAGTCAATCAATTAATCAGTCAATCAATTTGTCACATTTGTCACAGTCCGTCACTTCCATTGATTTGCATATTTCCGTACTTCACCCCCCATTTTGTAGCAAAAATGTCTAAAATGACTTACCCAAATTAAAATGACTGTAGCTTCTGAACCGCTCTGACTACATGTATGCATGAAGTCATGCCAGAAAGAAAACTCCCTGAAGTTCCTCATGAATGTGTCAGAAACACTCTAGGTGATATAGAGACAGAGTAATGGGCCTCTGAAGTCAGTAAAAAAATGAAGATTTTGCCTAAAATAAAATAAAAAATGTTTTTCAGGATGAATAACTGTCTGTGGCTTCGTCTGAGCAGGTAAATGACACTGTGGGGCTGTAGGCACATATCAGTGAACACTCGTTTCAGATTTGAAGAAGATTGCAAAAAGTATGACCATTCTACAGTGTTTTTTCCATGAAAAGATCCAGGGGAGCCCCAAAAGACAAGTCAGTCACTCGGCTTCAAAACAGTCTATCAGTGATCAAACAGCACTCAACCAGCTTCAAACATTGTACCTTATTGAAATCAGGTGTGATTATGATAGCTGATGTTGTTTATGACAAAGAAACACCATAAAATATCACCAAATAAAGCCATATGAAACGTGAAAGTTAAGATCCCACTTTCTAGACAGTATATCTCAGCCAAAAATAGTGGTAGGAGTGAGGCTCTTACATTTTGAAAAATAAAACAGCTAAGTCCTCGCTAATAGCTCCGCATAAGATCGCGAATAATCTTGTAACTTTTCCCGTCGAAAAACGGCGTGACATGACTTGTCACCACTCATCACGATTTTGGACTTTGTGTGTTTAGTCTGCTCTGGAGCAAAATCCATAAGAAACTAGAGCACTCGAAGAGCGCAGACCTCCACCAAGCAGCTCGGATTTCCCTCCATTTTCTGATTTTATCCACTCCGCTTCAACCGATCACCACCATCTATCTATCTATCTATCTATCATCTGTTCCTTGTCCCATTATCAACCTTTCCTGAAAATTTCATCAAAATCCGTTCAGAACTTTTCAAGTTATTTTGCAGACAAACAGACCAACGCCAGCGAAAACATAACCTCCTTGGCGGAGGTAATAAAAGAAAAACGATGTTATTTTTGAAAAGTCGAGAGCTTCCTGAATCCAGCAATACCAAACATCACATGGTTTGATGACGTGTCTGAAATCAATGACAATTTGTTTCAAAAATTACTAAGTGTAGCAACAGTAACCAGGGGCAACTTAATACCTTGTGTCAACTGATGTGTGTCAAAAGTCACATTTAGTGGAGAGAGATCATCTTACTTTGTTAGCAGTTCACTACAGGGCCTAGGTGCAGGGTTACTGTAGATTGAGCAGAAGAAATAATCAGGAGCAGAGGGACAGAGACAGAAGAGAGGAAACTAACTTTCCAGTGTGCATTGATTTTGTAAACTGACCCACGTGTAATCCCTGGCAGTTTAACTTGAGTCTTGGATTTGCATCCAGCTCTTTTCTCCCTGAGAAAGACCCAATCAGCTGTGGACAGCAGAGAATCAAACCACATCTGAAGGTTTACAGTAACTTAATACACATAGAAAACTGATTTACACCCCATAATGCTGGATTAGAGTGATGAAAAATGCACCGAGACAGAGAAGTGGGGCAAAGAAGAAGCAGCCCTCAGAATAAGTGGTTTGGCTGTGAGGTGATGCGTTCAGGGATCCACTGAGTATAGGGGAGAAGTCGATAGAAACCACTAATGGTCCACACCCAGTGTCCTGGCACAGCTGACAGGGCCTTCAATAACCATCGACTCTCACTGTCACTGTTTCTCATTTTGTCTCTGCCCATCTTCCCACTGTTTCTCAACCTCGCTGTCTCTCTTTGCAGCACTCGCTGCTAAATTCTAAAATTGCCAATCTGGTTTGAATTTCCCATTTTCCTTCTCTGGCTTGCACATAAACCAGTATTATGTTTTACTGAACGTTCCCCCCAAGTCTTTTCCAACTCACTAAAGAACATCTGTGCCACTTTTCAGAGTAAATGCTTGGAAAGGTGTTCGATGTAAGTGAATTAGGCACAGATATCTTCATCAACACCAGAATTAAAATGGACTCTGAACACCGGTGGGATTTGGAGAAAGTTATTTTGCATTCAGCGGAAACACTGCTTTCATGCAAGTGAACGAAGGGGCTCAACTTACACCAGAATGAAAGGATTAAATCTTATCTCAGATCTCCCGTGAGCTTTTTTTGATGCTTTGAAGCTCCTCACATCTGGGACCAGTTTAAAAATCTGTAAATGACTTGTCAAACAGATCAGACATCATGACACAAAGTCCGTCAAGTTCTCTATCAGAGTTTCAAAATGTTTTTTGCATAACCGGAGTCACATTTCACTGTCGGAACCACATGGCTGCGTGCCGTTGATTTTCTTTCCATATGAATGTGTTGCTGCTCTTGTATCTTTCTGAGATATGGGGTGGAGCTTTTGTTTGTGTTCACCTCTTTCATTTTTTTTTAAACCCTGTGACTCCACCAGCCAGATTATAGCTGTGCTTAGGCTAATGTGGCTTCTTAAGATGCTCTCCATAAACTCTGGCCGGATCACGGCCGAGCCAAGCTTGTGTCATTACTTGGCTTAATTTGTGTGCAGGCGATGATGAAAGAGATTACTGACTCTGAATGTGTTTACTGTCCCTTGTGGGAAAGATCCTTCTGTTTCACTTGATTGGGAGGATACAAAATCAATATGGGTTTTTTAAATTAATGTGTGCTGGGAAACAATACGTCTTTGTCTGATGTGAAATGAAGTCGCAACAAGATAGATGGTGGTTGCGCCCTCATTTATATTCACTCATGATTGACTCACTTACTCACTCAGTATGCCCTCTGGCTTTCCTTCCCTGCTGTAGGAGTGGGTGGCAACTTGGTGGCCATCCAGGCCAGTAGGATCTCTACCTACCTGCACTTCTGGAGCATCCCAGGGGTGCTGCCTTACAAGATGAGGCAGCACTGGCCCAATCCCTGCATCACCTTCTTCTCCGCAGGTAACCCTAACACGTCATATCAACCATTATTAATCAATTATAAAGTGGTAATTAAACTTTAGTTAATGCACAACTATTACTGATATTTATCAGTATATGATTGATTGATTTTCTTTATTTTTGTTTTATTTTTTGTCATGCACAAAAACCTGCCCACCCTAATAGGTTAACAAGACAGCATACCATTACCGTTGCAGTGATCAATCCAAAGTATTATCTTATTGCTCAGTCCCCAAACTAACAGTTAGATAACTGCTTGTATGTATAATTTATGAATTGCACATTTTCAACCTTCTGACATTTACTGCCTTCACTCACCTTTACCAAATGGCAAATCCAGTCTCTGCAGCCCCACACTGGTCAGGTGTATGCAAGGGTGTTTCTAGGATTTGAGGACATTCGGGGCTTAGCCCAGACCTCTAGTGGGGCCTTAAAATAATACCACAATATGCCAGGGTAACTTTGCAATAATATGAAAAATAAGTAAAAAAAAATGTATTATTTATCTAAGAAAATAGAATTGCAACAAAATAAGTGATATAGTTTTACAGTTTATCTTCAAATATCAAGAAACAGCTAAACAAAAATGATCTTACTTTTCTTCAGTTTGTAAACAACAACAGTCACTCCTGGAGGAGAATATGCAGAGGGGCCTGTTAAATGGGAGCTGGCTCATAACTGAGTAGAACTCTTGTAAATTAAACATTTTTTAAACAGTAAAACACAGCAGACAGGCCTGAGTACACAATGAGGGATATTCATGCATAACCGTGGTTAACTACTAAAATAAGGCACCCTGCCTGCAAAGAACTCATTCTCTGTGTCTCCCAGGGGTGAACTCCAAGTCAGCATGGGTGCTTCTGCTGCTGGTCATCCCCGGTCACCTGGTCTTCCTCTATGCCATCTCTCTGCTGCAGGGAGACGAGGCACCTATCTCTGTAGCCTTCACCATCTGCTACCTGTGTGCTGCTCTGCTACAGGTAACCTGACACACTTTATGCACACATTTTGTTTGTTATTATCTATAAGAAATAAAAGAACACAAATCATTTTTATATTCCTGTCAGTGGTAGTTATCACTGCATGGTCTCTCATGATCTCGCTGGCCCTCAGCTGGCCCTGAAGTTTCACATGACACTATGATACAAACTGTGGAAACCAGTCATCAGCAGGTAAAACTTTGTACAGTCTGATAGAAAGGGCTGCTGCCACCTGTTAGCTAACTGTGAAATGATCGTGCCAGGTGTTGGTGCTTCAGCAGCTCTGTGATACAAAGATTTGTTCCAGGACAGAACCAAAAGTACACCGCACTCCTGCCACGGTCACCTTTCTGACCTCCTCAACATAACGTCAGCTCAGCTGTGGAGTGTTTGTCAAAAACCTGAGACTCATTAAACGTGCAGCGTCTGTCCGTATCGTTAGTATTATTGCACGGTGTTAGATGTTGTGTCCTTTGGTACCATGTCAATGAATATCTGGCAATCTCCATAATCTCTTGCAGGCTTAAATAAATCTCAGATTTCATATCTGCTCTAGTCCGGAAAATCTGTTTGGAAGATTTATAGGTAGCCGCTATTGAGATCACTCGCTTGGCTGATAAAATAACACACAAAACACACGTAGGTGTAGAGAGAAAGATACTTTTATTATTATGAGCAGCTGAGATGCACTAGGCCAGTGAACGTACCCCTCACAGCCCTATCACATTAACTTAAATACCCTTGATTAACAACACCTGTCATTTTCTAGTTATGTTATTTTAACTGTATTTAAAGTGGTCATCCATGATGGTTTTTGACTTGTTGTTATGCCTCTGTGACTGCTGTAGCGCGAGGCATTATGTTCTCAGGTGGCTTGTCCAATTGTACGTCTGTTCATCCCATGCTTGTGAGAGCGATATCTCGAGACAACTTTAGGGAATTTCTTTAAATTTGTCACCAACGTCCACTTGGACTCAATGATGTACTGATTAGATCTTAGTGGTCATGGGTCATAGGTCAAGGTTTGTCTCATTCTTGTGAATGCAATATCTCAAGAGTAAATATGTAGCAAAAACGTTCACTTCAACTTCAGGATAAATTAGATTAGATCTTGGTGGTCATAGGTCAAGGTCACTGTGACCTTGCATCCATCTCAGTCTCGTGAACACACCGTCTCAAGAACGCCATGAGGGAATTTCTTTAAATTTGACACAAACATCCGAAGAAGAAGAAGTAACCAATTAAAACTTTGCGGTCAAAGGTCAAGCTCACTGTGATCTCTCAAAACATGTTTTGGGCCATTCCTCAATATTTCATACTCTAAATATGATAAAATTTCACACAGATGTCTGATAGGATAAAACTGCAAAGTGATGACATTTTATATCCAAAAGGTCAAAGTTCAGCTTCACTGTGACATCATAATGTTCTGCCAAAAGACTTTTCTGGCCATTACTCAACTTCATATCATAACAAAGGGGAGACATTACATTGGATACTGAATTGAGTGTCCACCTTGAAGTGATTATGAAGGTCTTCTGTGCTGCCAGGTTGATGTGTGTGAAGCATCCATGTTTTGCCAAAATAAAGAAATGGTAATAACCTATTATTAAATTCCTTCTTTACTATGCAATACAGTAAAATGCCAATTAAAAGCCAAGTCCCTTTTACTAGCCAGGGGTGGCTACATGTTTTGACAAATAAACAGTAGACTCAATTAGAAGCCAGTTCTGGTTGCCATTGACGATGGAAAGCAGTTCATTTTTATAGCAGTTATTGGGATGTATAAAATGTGTTATGGTCCGCCATTCATTGGTGACCTGCATGAGCTATTTAAGCTGTTAAGCTGCTCAAATCTCACAAACAAATATAAATGTTTAAACTTATGTCAAATGGACATGCTACACATCGTTAGCTTGGCTGGATTCTCCACAATTCAGTAGTTCATTTCATTTTAAGAAGACAATGACTTGCATGGTAAACAAGAGAGACAGGGAAAAAAGAGATGACTCCCTACCTCTAAAATGGCCATAAGCTCCAAAGTTGTGTCCATGCCTTGATCATTTATGTTCCCGTAGTTGGTAAGGATGCTTCAGTGAAAACATTTAAAAGGGTTTTCCATTAAAATTATTCGAAGTTGTGTATATTGGCGTCAAGTCCAGGCTCTCTCTTTCTCTCTGTATGTTAACTTAATGCTGTGTCTCTCTGAGCTGAGCCAGTTTTGTGGGATAGGAATTAAAACCCTGTCTCATGGGCGCCTGTCCCAAATACAGGCTGATTGAGTTCAGTGACTGAAGCAAATAAAAGCCTGGGCCATTAAATTAAGTTTTACCAGATATGAGTCTGGACAGACATGGATGCAAACTGCAACCTAAGTGGCTAGTAGTGGTATACAACCACGAGGCAGTAATTTCAGGTTTCCTTTGATTGTAGCCTTTTCAGCTCAGTTTTCTTCTCCCTTCGCCCTCTAGGTGGCCATCCTCCTTTACTTTGCTGATCTCATTATCCGTTTGATGTGGAGACGGAGTCTGGACCCTGACAACTTCTCCATCCCCTACCTGACCGCCATGGGAGACCTGCTGGGCACTGGCTTTCTGGCCCTCTGCTTCCGCTGCGTCTCACTGGTTCATAGCCTGGGTCTCTGAATGTCTCCCCTCTCACCCCCGAACTCAAAGCCAGCCACTGTCTTGTTGCACCAAGTTTGTTACATTTACACAGATATACTTTTGATTGGACAGTAAAGCATTTTCTGATGGTTATCACTGGGCCAGTTCATACAGAGGAACTTGTCTTTGTCAGAAATTCAAACCTTTACAGTGATGGAGAGAAGGCACAGGCAACACCCCACCCATTTACACCATCTTCTGGGAGAAGGCTTTGCGTCGTAAACACGTCCGGCCAATCAGATTCTTTCATTTGAGGACAAAAGACATTAATATGTGTTGAAGTTTTATTTCTCTGTCCATCACTATATTGACCTTTATTTTGAAATCATTCCTCTTTATCTGTCTTTTAGTTTTATTGCATTAACTAAATGTGAGTTTGGTGCTCACCTCATCTCTCAGCTCACCTTTTTGGCTTCATCAGGGGAAAATGTAGCAACTTTACATCATAGCAGCAAGACTGAACAAATGGTCCATTTGAATGTGGAAAGATCAAATAGACTTACAGCAGCCCATGTTTGAGTGGGCTGTACTATGCATCAATGCAAGAGATTGTGGAGGTCGATGTATGTAGTACACTAACTGGAATTTTCATGGCTGCATGTCCAACATATGTTACATGGCATTGATTTAGAATGAATGGGACAGATTTAGTTGTCATGCTGATCTGGTCATGTACCTGTAACACACAGGGGAATGTTTCATCATTACATGAAAAGAATTGAATCTCCACTATTATTCTTATAATGTACTTTATGTACTGTCTTTTCTTAACGTTTTCTGCAGATTTATTTCTGAGGTACCATAAGAGGCAAGCAGATAGAATGGGGTAATTGGTACTTTCATGACCGAAGGCAAATGGCGTAGCTGGAAACAATATGATTAGGAGGAAGACACTATCAGTAGCTGTGGTGGGAGTTTGTGTCAGTCATGAGCAATGAATTCACCTCTGTTCTGAGTGTGTCATGTTGCAGAGGACTGTGCAAAGCGGATTTACCAGCTTGAACATTTCCTATAAGTGGTAACTGTCATGAGATGGTATACTGCACCTGAAAGACTTATGAAATAGACATGTTCAGTAGCTCTGTTAGTTGGAGAACCATTAACCAATGTTTCAGCGAAAGCGAACTGACACAAAGACTTTTTGTTTGTAGAAGGGAGGGTATCCACCAGCAACTTCTTGACAGCTTTAAATTATCTTTGCATCTCTAATCCCTTCTGTAAAGGCATCTACCGGCAGCATGTCATTTTTATGCCTCTGTGCTGGTGAAAGCCGTGGCCTGAGGCACTACTTTTTAGGGTTGTTGGTATGTCGTCCGTACATCCATCCCTCCGTCCCATTCTTGTGCATGAACTGATTAGTTTTTGGTCAAGGTCACTGTGACATTGTCTGTCTCATTCTTGCGAACACAAAATTGTGAAAACACCTCGAAGGAATTCCTTCACAGGTGGCACAAACATTCAGTTGGATTAAAAATGAACTGATTAGATTTTAGAGGTCAAAAGTAAAGGTCACTGTGACCTTAAATCCATCTCATTCTCGTGAATGCAATATTTCAAAAACACTAGAATGTCTTTAAATTTGACACAAATCTCCAGAAGGAGATCAAGATGTAGAAACAGATTACAATTTGGTGGTTAAAGGTCAAAGGGTCAAGGTCAGTGTGACCTCACAAAAAATGATTTTGGCCATAACTCAAGAATTCTTGTGCTAATTGTGACAAAACTAAACAGGAATGTGTAACAGGGTAAAACGATAAAGTGATGACATTTTATATCCAAAGGGTCAAAGGTCAACTTCACTGGGACATCATAATGTTCTGCATAAAACAATTTTCTGGCCATTACTCATATCTCAGCAATCAGCACAGTCCAGGGCCCACCTTGAAACTGTGCTAATTGTACAGATCTTCTGTGCTGGTGGGGGGAGGATGTGAGTGAAGCATCCATGTTTTCACAGACATGGATGTGAACTGTAGGAGAAACTGTGCAGAGGCATACAAACTGGCTAGGAGAATAAAATCCACTAACAGCTTAAATTAATTGTTTGACATTTTGTGACATACTCGTATTCGCTCTCTTGCTGAGAGTTAGATGAGAGGATCAATACCTATCTCGTGTGTACATGAAATATGAAGCTATCGCTAGTAGCTGGCTAACTTAGCTTAGCGCAAAAAGTGACAGTGGGAAAAAAGCTAGGCTGGCTCTGTCCAAAGGTAACAAAAGCAGCCTTTTAACATCTATAAAGCTTGCAAATAAATGTATTATTACCTGTTTGTTTAATCCATACAAAAACAGAAGTATTAAAACAGCAATTTGCCATTTTACGGTGTCATGTGCCCAACAGTTTCTTGGTTTGGAATTTTGTTTTTTGTATGAATTTAAAGAACTAGATATGATGTATTAATTAGAAAGCTTTACAGGCGCTTGTCGATGTATTTTTCCTAAATTCTGACAATGCTAGGCTAAAAGTTACATCGTTTCCAGTCATAATGCTTGGCTAAATTAGCCAGCTGCTGGCTGTAGCTTCACACTTACCGTAAAAATCGGTAAATTGGCATCAATCCTCTCATCCAACTGCCATCAGTAGAGCAAATTGCGCATTTCCCAAAATATCAACCTTGTCTTTTGAGGTCTGGAACAGGATCTGCTCATGTGCAAATCATTCAGTAAAGCCACAACTCCAATTTCTGTTACCATTGACCAGCTGTTTCTACCTCTGCACTTCTTCCACTTTGAAGTCTGTGTCATGGGAAAATCACCAAAATACCAAACATTTGAATAAGGACGTATTTGTGCCCCGCGAAAATGCCACAATTCTGACTTAAATCCCCATGATGCATCGCTAAAGCTGTCTCCAGTATGTCTAATGTGGTTGATGTACTGCTTTTTGTTGCACATACAGTAGGTATATACAGTGTAATAAACATGGTACTTGCAAACTGTACTACCCTACAATGGCAGAGCACTGTAACTATGGAGGCAGTGAAGTTTAAGGGGACCCATTATGCTTTTCCTTACTTTCTGTCATATATATAACATTACAGTGTTGAATGTTCATATTAAACATGGCCAAAGTTTTAATTAATGAGGTAAGCCTATGTAAAAGTAATCCTTGATAGCAAAACCTCAGGCTTCATACCTTTCTGAACAGTTTCCAACATTTTGTCCCCTTTGGAGACAAACTGACATCATCTCATGACAGATTTCTTTATATGGTCATCTGCGCTAAGCATGCTACTTTAAGTGTTTACATCACGTAGCCTACACTGCTACATGTAGCAACATGCTAACATCAGGGAAACATGAAATCTTGATTGTCAATATTGTTGATTTCTCCCCCATTTTGGATCGTATTCCTGCTGGAACATGTCCAGGTGTCAAGATTTTGGTCAAAAAGCCGTTATTGGTTATTCTTTACAGCAGGCAGTGCCGCTATACTCCATTACAGTCATTATCCAACTGCAAGTACACTGCTACATGTGGCTAGATGCTAATGTCAGGTTGCCAATGTTGTTCATTATTTCTCCCAGAGTTTGGATCGTATATTTGCTGGAACATGTCTTGTCATGAAGATTTTGGTTTTTGGAAGCTTTTATTGTTTTTTTTTTGTTTGTTTTTTTTAATAGAAGAAAGGGCCGTTGTTCTCCATTACAGTCATTCCCCTTTCTGCAATGATGGTGCAGAGACACTTAAATAAGGAAGACCCGGAAATGCTGACAATCAGAGTAGACTTGGCTTTTTGGGCTTAAAGAGACAGACACTAAAACGCAGCGTCTCAGACAGAGAGGGGATTCAGGTCTTCCAGCACAGACAGAATAAGGAAAATAAATAGTCTTCTGAACATCAAAGCATGTAAACGTTTTCTAGAAGAAACCCAAAATACAAGTATGAATCTAAAAATGAGCATAATAGGTCCCGTTTAAGGAAAAAAGGTTTAAAGTTCTCAGGCAGGATGGCAGAGGTCATAATACTTGCGGGGTTTTTTTACCCCCAAAATCCTTACCTAAAAAATGCAGATACTGCATAAGATAATCTGCATGGAACTGCAGTATCTAATAATAAAATGTGTTATCCATTTTACCTATTTTGTTTGAGAAAATTAACTTTAAGTTTGATTATTATTTGCAGTCCATTGCTCATACAATATAGTAAATGTGATGATGAGTCCCAGTGCATTGAGTTTACCAAACTAGAGTGGAGTGCAGCAGCCAGGGACGCAATACTAAGCCAGAATGCAGTAACTAGAGAGCCAAAGTGCTTGTTTGGCTTCCGTTTTGTCTGTTAGATGATTACTGCACATTTAAAAAGCTGTTTTCACTGAAATTACACATTTCTATGGCATAATATATTTTATATAGTAAAAGAGTTGCCAGAGAGTCCCATACTGAATCTAACTCAGTTTTGACCAAATATGTAGTTACTGCATTTTGCCTTACAGGGATTTATCATACTAGAAATTGTTCAAAGGCCCAGAATGATGGTGTTCCAAAGCACTGTGAACCCTGAAAACGTGTCTGCACTTCTAATTGTAAAGCAGTTTCAGTATTCAAAAAGTAATTGCAATATTTTGTTTGTGAATTTGTGCTGCCACTCAATGTAAAAAAAAAAATAAAAAATACAGCTGTAAGTATTTGTTTTCACCCGTCAGCTTAAGTTTATGTGTTTACTGTGTAGCTGCAGAGGATCTTTGGTATGCCCTCACTACTTGATACCAACAGTCCCTTTAATGGAAGGTTCACAAAGCCTTACTGTTCATTATGATGTTGACAGAACCATAAAACCTCATCATTACAGCAGTGTATGCACATGCATGCACATTAGTGTGCTCAGACAGAAAGCAAAGCCAATTTTCACCCTGCGTCATTCACACGAATTTGACAGGTGAATTTGGAACTCACCTTTTACCCCAGTTGTTTATTTTCCGTCCAGCCTCACTCCATCTTCTTCTCATCTCTGTACGTTATCAAAGCAAATTCATTAAGCCCTGAGATGCACTCAGATTAAAATTTTACTTGCATTCTGTCTGAACACACAGTTAAAACTTCAACTAAAGTCATGTTTAAGGATTTTCTCTTCCCTTGTATGCACTATTTTAGTTTACACAAACACAAAGATTACAGTTAATATGGAAAAAAAAACTAACTGCAGAAAAACACAGTATTTGGAAATTACAGTCTGGAGTACACCGGCTATCTCTCTGTCCTGGCTATCGTTTTTTAATGTGAATGAGCTCAATCTCAAAATACAGAAATTCGTTAACGCACTTATGAAGTCACATGTAACACTTTTGCTGTTTGCTGTTACTAGTAATACCTATTTTAGAGACGAACCTCGTAAACACTGAAATCTGAGGCATTTCTGAAAAACAGCCTGTCTTGTCAATAACTGATCTTTGATGTGAGGTATTTCAGTGGTAATAGTGCTTTGCTAAAAGCTTTTATTGTGACACTGTTACACAGTACTTTCTACACTAGGAGGTAATGAAATATAGATAGCGTACTATTTTCTTTCACTCAAGCTTACTGAGATCTGTGTATTAACTGTGATACTGTGAGAATTAGACCACAGCTAAGGTTGTGTCGTACCAGCACATAAGTGTGTCTTAATCAGTAGGGCTGGATGATGTATCATAAAGTCTTTATCATTTTAAGTTGTCACTGTTATAAGTATTTATTGTGTTTTCTCATTTCTGATGTCTTTAGGAATTAATTACAGTATTTCAAGTAAATATATGGAGGTCGAAAAGTTTAATTTTTGACAGTCACTTTATTTTAGTTGTTAATAATCATTTGAAGGAATAGTTCAGTGTTTTGGGAGATATGTTAGTTCACTTTTTTGCCGAAACTTAAATTTGAAGGCCGGTATCAAGCTTCTTCACAATGCAGTGATTTCTCAAAATGCTGAACTATTTCCATAAAAATTTGGTTTAACATCCAGCCCTATTAATAATTACGTCAAAGAGTGATGGCAAAATACCTGATTGTAAACTTGCACCTTTCTTGTAATAGTAGTCTAAAATTGCCTTGAAAACAAAATTCATGTCAACTGTGTCTTGTGTAAAATCTCATCTAACAACCATGTCAATGTCAAAAAAGTAGTAGCTTTATTTCAGTGTTGCAACAGTCTTTTCTCTTTTGCTGTCTGTTGGCAAAACTTTGTACTGTACTTCAATGTTGACACTGCCACGTTAGGACTTTAGGGGATTTTAAAATGCCTTTGTTTTCTAATCCTGCTGTGTTCACTGTCACCTGAGCTTGCACACCTTCAATGTGTTATGTCTTATGTTTGCGCAAAGATGAAGTGTGGAATCAGAAATGTGACAAATGTTTGTTGAGCGTTTATGTGATTTTGTGGCTTTGAACAGTTATATTTTAATAAAAACTAACAGTGTAATGAAATACGTTTACTTTGGCACTATCACCTAAATCAACCAAAAGAAACATTTTTTCTTACTCTATTGCCATCAGGTGGAGTTACCAGTAATAAGTAACAGCAGCCAGGTTTCCTATGAGGTTTTCTTTCACATACTTTACCTTGAGTTTTGTTTGTTTTTGACACACTATACTGTGATTTTTTTTCATACTGTACTATGGCATTTTGACATACTATGATTTTTTCCATCATGCTATGACTTTTTTCAGGATACTATGACTTTTTATGAGGTTTATTAAGACTTTCTTCTTAACTGAGTTTTTTGTGTAAATATTATACTTTTTTTTCCACATACTATACAGCGGCTTTTTTTTTATGACTTTCTAGCATGTTATGACTTTTTTTTTTTACATATACTATGATTTGTTTTTAGCATACTATACTGTATACTTTTTTGACAACTATACTGTGACTTTTTGACAGACTATACTATGATATTTTTAGGAATACTATGCGATGACTTTATTGATATATCATATTATGACATTTTAGGCATACTATACTATGACTTTTTTTGACAAACTATACCATGATTTTTTTAGGCACACTATCCTGTAACCTTTTTGGCATACTATACTTTGTTTTGTTTTGTTTTGTTTTGTTTTTTTTTGGGTTTTTTTTTTACATACTATACTATGATGTTTTAGTCATACTATACTATGACTTTGTAGGCATACTATAATTTGACTTTTTTGACATACTATACTTTGACTTTTTTGACATATACTATGACTTTTTTGACATACTATACTATTACTTTTTAGGCATACTATACTATGACTTTTGTGGCATACTATACTATGACTTTTTTGGCATACTATACTATGACTTTTTTGGCATGCTATACTATGACTTTTTTGGCATACTATACTATGACATCTTGATATATTATACTATGACTTTTTTGACATACTATACTATGACTTTTTTGGCATACTATACTATGACATCTTGATATATTATACTATGACTTTTTTGGCATACTATACTGTGACTTTTTTGACATACTATGACTTCTTGGCATACTATACTATGACGTTTTTGACATACTATACTATGACATCTTGATATATTATACTATGACTTTTTTGACATACTATACTATGACTTTTTTGGCATACTATACTATGACATCTTGATATATTATACTATGACTTTTTTGACATACTATACTATGACTTTTTTGGCATACTATACTATGACATCTTGATATATTATACTATGACTTTTTTGACATACTATACTATGACTTTTTTGGCATACTATACTATGACATCTTGATATATTATACTATGACTTTTTTGACATACTATACTATGACTTTTTTGGCATACTATACTATGACATCTTGATATATTATACTATGACTTTTTTGACATACTATACTATGACTTTTTTGGCATACTATACTATGACATCTTGATATATTATACTATGACTTTTTTGACATACTATACTATGACTTTTTTGGCATACTATACTATGACATCTTGATATATTATACTATGACTTTTTTGACATACTATACTATGACTTTTTTGGCATACTATACTATGACATCTTGATATATTATACTATGACTTTTTTGACATACTATACTATGACTTTTTTGGCACACTATACTATGACATCTTGATATATTATACTATGACTTTTTTTTGGCATACTATACTGTGACTTTTTTGACATATACTATGACATTTTTGGCATACTATACTATGACATCTTGATATATTATACTATGACTTTTTTGACATACTATACTATGACTTTTTTGGCATACTGTACTTTGACTTTTTTGACATATACTATGACTTTTTTGACATACTATACTATGACTTTTTAGGCATACTATACTATGGCTTTTTTGACATACTATACTATGACTTTTTTTGCATACTATACTTTGACTTTTTTGACATATACTATGACCTTTTTTTGACATACTATACTATGACTTTTTTGGCATACTATACTATGACTTTTTGGCATACTGTACTATGACTTTTTTGGCATGCTATACTTTGACTTTTTTGACATATACTATGACTTTTTAGCATACTATACTATGACTTTTTAGGCATACCATACTATGACTTTTTTTGGCATACTATACTTTGACTTTTTTGACATATGCTATGACTTTTTTGACATACTATGACTTTTTGGCATACTATACTATGACTTTTTTTGGCATACTATGACTTTTTTGACATACTATACTATGACTTTTGAGGCATACTATACTATGACTTTTGTGGCATACTATACTATGGCTTTTTTGGCATACTATACTACGACTTTTTAGGCATACTATACTATGACTTTTTTTGGCACACTATACTATGACATCTTGATATATTATACTATGACTTTTTTGACATACTATACTATGACTTTTGTTGCATACTGTACTTTGACTTTTTTGACATATACTGTGACTTTTTTGACATACTATACTATGACTATTTAGGCATACTATACTATGACTTTTTTTGCATACTAGACTTTGACTTATTTGGCACACTATACTATGACATCTTGATATATTATACTATGACTTTTTTGACATACTATACTATGACTTTTTTGGCATACTATGCTATGACTTTTTTGGCATACTATACTTTGACTTTTTTGACATATACTATGACTTTTTTAGCATACTATACTATGACTTTGTTTGACATACTATACTATGACTTTTTAGGCATACTATACTATGACTTTTTTTGGCATACTATGACTTTTTTGACATATACTATGACTTTTTTGGCATACTATACTATGACTTTTGTGGCACACTATACTATGACTTTTTTGGCATACTATACTATGACTTTTTAGGCATACTATACTGTGACTTTTTTTTTGACATACTATACTATGACTTTTTTGACATACTATACTATGACTTTTTTGGCATACTATACTATGACTTTTTTGGCATACTATACTGTGACTTTTTTGACATATACTATGACTTTTTTAGCATACTATACTATGACTTTGTTTGACATACTATACTATGACTTTTTAGGCATACTATACTATGACTTTTTTTGGCATACTATGACTTTTTTGACATATACTATGACTTTTTTGGCATACTATACTATGACTTTTGTGGCACACTATACTATGACTTTTTTGGCATACTATACTATGACTTTTTAGGCATACTATACTGTGACTTTTTTTTTGACATACTATACTATGACTTTTTTGACATACTATACTATGACTTTTTTGGCATACTATACTATGACTTTTTTGGCATACTATACTGTGACTTTTTTTTTGACATACTATACTATGACTTTTTTG